CTTATTCCCAATATGGGAAATTGGCTAAAATTGAATTTATTCTCGTAAAATAGCCTACAATAGTAATAGAAGCTATGCCACTGCCACTTCAATAATGACATGTTCGTCCTCATTTCACCCCTCAACTTCTGTTAATGAACGTGCCATAGTGTATAATTTCATGTATCAGCAACTAATAATCTATATATTAATACACTTAAGCAGTTTTCTTTTCACAGTCATAACTCATTAACGGCTTGAGAGATTTTAGCGTTTGAGGTGTCAAATTAAAGGTATTTTTAAGTAGATGTGCAAATACGTCTCAGAATATTAAATACCCCCGCTGCAGCAAACCTGCAGACTAAGCGAATTTCCAATTGGATTTACACTAAAATGCCTCCTGAAAAATTTCACATTTATTCCCTATTTAAATAACTTAGAATTAGTTTAACGAGTAGGCTACTTAGGTTTGCTGCAACAGGGAGGGTAAAAAGGTGTTTTTTGTTGTAAAATGTTCATAGTTTAGTAAGAAATAAATGTATTTTACATATTCTATCAAAATATGTTCATAAACAAGCAAACTACAACATTTGACTTATTCTCCATAAGAATAACATGGGAATTTTAAATTTACAGTTTTTTGGAATTTTCTCCGTAACCATTAGGCGCACAATAATGCTTCAATATACTAAATTATTTGTTTTTTAAGCTCTACAAAATGGTTTGGAAAGAAATTGTGAAATTTTGTGATTTTAGGGTCAAAAATGGGAAAAACCTATTTTTACCCCATAAAACCCCCCATAAACCCCCGTTCCCATAGTCCGATCATGCTGGTTAGGGAACTCGTTCAAATAAATGTAGGTTTACACGTTTATACCAAATTTTATCAAAATCGGATCATTTTTGCTCAAGTTATCGTGCTAACGGACACACATAAGTTATATATATATATATATAAATTTGAACGGATGGTGTTTTTGGTCTCTAGGGACCTCAAAACGAAAAAGTAAATCGGTCCCGGGTCCAGGTCTTACCATGAGTATACTACGGTACCTAATAACTTAGGCCTATTCCCTATATGGGAAATTTGCTAAAAAGGGCATTTGGGAATGGTGATTGGTGTGAACCTGGCAATAACTCCAGCCATAAGTAGTGCGCGCGCCCGAAAAAATCTATTGCTGGCCGTATTACGGCAAAATACGTCCGCGATGCATATTACCGATTATGCCAACAGATAGAGGACACTTTAACGGACACGACAGTATCAACATTATGTACCTGGGGAGTAGTATAAGGGGGGTAAAATCGGCAAAAAGTAGTGCGCGCACCACCAAAAATCTATTGCTGGCCGTATTACGGCAAAATACGTCCGTGATGCGTATTACCGATGATGCCAACAGATAGAGGACACTTTAACGGACACGACAGTATCAATATTATGTACCTGGGGAGTAGTATAAGGGGGGTAAAATCGGCAAAAAGTAGTGCGCGCGCTACAAAAAATCTATTGCTGGCCGTATTACGGCAATATACGTCCGCGATGCATATTACCGATGATGCCAACAGATAGAGGACACTTTAACGGACACGACAGTATCAACATTATGTACCTGGGGAGTAGGTTAAGGGGGGTAAAATGAGCAATAAGTAGTGCGCGCACCACCAAAAATCTATTGCTGGCCGTATTACGGCAAAATACGTCCGCGATGCATATTACCGATTATGCCAACAGATAGAGGACACTTTAACGGACACGACAGTATCAACATTATGTACCTGGGGAGTAGTATAAGGGGGGTAAAATCGGCAAAAAGTAGAGCGCGCGCTACAAAAAATCTATTGCTGGCCGCTTTGCGGCAAAATACGTCCGCGATGCGTATTACCGATGATGCCAACAGATAGAGGACACTTTAACGGACACGACAGTATCAACATTATGTACCTGGGGAGTAGTATAAGGGGGGTAAAATCGGCAAAAAGTAGTGCGCGCGCTACAAAAAATCTATTGCTGGCCGTATTGCGGCAAAATACGTCCGCGATGCATATTACCGATGATGCCAACAGATAGAGGACACTTTAACGGACACGACAGTATCAACATTATGTACCTGGGGAGTAGGATAAGGGGGGTAAAATCGGCAAAAAGTAGTGCGCGCGCTACAAAAAATGTATTGCTGGCCGTATTGCGGCAAAATACGTCCGCGATGCGTATTACCGATGATGCCAACAGATAGAGGACACTTTAACGGACACGACAGTATCAACATTATGTACCTGAGGAGTAGGATAAGGGGGGTAAAATCGGCAAAAAGTAGTGCGCGCGCTACAAAAAATGTATTGCTGGCCGCTTTGCGGAAAAATACGTCCGCGATGCGTATTACCGATGATGCCAACAGATAGAGGACACTTTAACGGACACGACAGTATCAACATTATGTACCTGGGGAGTAGTATAAGGGGGGTAAAATCGGCAAAAAGTAGTGCGCGCGCTACAAAAAATCTATTGCTGGCCGCTTTGCGGCAAAATACGTCCGCGATGCATATTACCGATTATGCCAACAGATAGAGGACACTTTAACGGACACGACAGTATCAACATTATGTACCTGGGGAGTAGGATAAGGAGGGTAAAATCGGCAAAAAGTATTGCGCGCGCTACAAAAAATCTATTGCTGGCCGTATTGCGGCAAAATACGTCCGCTATGCATATTACCGATGATGCCAACAGATAGAGGACACTTTAACGGACACGACAGTATCAACATTATGTACCTGGGGAGTAGTATAAGGGGGGTAAAATCGGCAAAAAGTAGTGCGCGCGCTACAAAAAATCTATTGCTGGCCGTATTGCGGCAAAATACGTCCGCGATGCATATTACCGATGATGCCAACAGATAGAGGACACTTTAACGGACACGACAGTATCAACATTATGTACCTGGGGAGTAGTATAAGGGGGGTAAAATCGGCAAAAAGTAGTGCGCGCGCTACAAAAAATCTATTGCTGGCCGTATTGCGGCAAAATACGTCCGCGATGCATATTACCGATTATGCCAACAGATAGAGGACACTTTAACGGACACGACACTGTTGATACTGTCGTGTCCGTTAAAGTGTCCTCTATCTGTTGGCATAATCGGTAATATGCATCGCGGACGTATTTTGCCGCAATACGGCCAGCAATAGATTTTTTGTAGCGCGCGCACTACTTTTTGCCGATTTTACCCCCCTTATACTACTCCCCAGGTACATAATGTTGATACTGTCGTGTCCGTTAAAGTGTCCTCTATCTGTTGGCATCATCGGTAATACGCATCGCGGACGTATTTTGCCGCAAAGCGGCCAGCAATAGCTTTTTTGTAGCGCGCGCACTACTTTTTGCCGATTTTACCCCCCTTATCCTACTCCCCAGGTACATAATGTTGATACTGTCGTGTCCGTTAAAGTGTCCTCTATCTGTTGGCATCATCGGTAATATGCATCGCGGACGTATTTTGCCGCAATACGGCCAGCAATAGATTTTTTGTAGCGCGCGCACTACTTTTTGCCGATTTTACCCCCCTTTTACTACTCCCCAGGTACATAATGTTGATACTGTCGTGTCCGTTAAAGTGTCCTCTATATGTTGGCATCATCGGTAATATGCATAGCGGACGTATTTTGCCGCAATACGGCCAGCAATAGATTTTTTGTAGCGCGCGCAATACTTTTTGCCGATTTTACCCTCCTTATCCTACTCCCCAGGTACATAATGTTGATACTGTCGTGTCCGTTAAAGTGTCCTCTATCTGTTGGCATAATCGGTAATATGCATCGCGGACGTATTTTGCCGCAATACGGCCAGCAATAGATTTTTTGTAGCGCGCGCACTACTTTTTGCCGATTTTACCCCCCTTATACTACTCCCCAGGTACATAATGTTGATACTGTCGTGTCCGTTAAAGTGTCCTCTATCTGTTGGCATCATCGGTAATACGCATCGCGGACGTATTTTGCCGCAATACGGCCAGCAATACATTTTTTTTGTAGCGCGCGCACTACTTTTTGCCGATTTTACCCCCCTTATACTACTCCCCAGGTACATAATGTTGATACTGTCGTGTCCGTTAAAGTGTCCTCTCTCTGTTGGCATCATCGGTAATATGCATCGCGGACGTATTTTGCCGCAAAACGGCCAGCAATAGATTTTTTGTGGCGCGCTCACTACTTATTGCCAAGTTATTGCCAGGTTCACACAAGTGGAATGGTGGCGCTATCTGTTGACATTAGATTGTTTCCAACTAAACATACCGTATGGACGTATTTCGAAATAGTTTCTAAGGTTAACCACAGACTGCAGGGCTTGTTACTTCCAAAGCAAAGCCGGAATTTATATTTTTATTTAATCATCTGTAAAATAAGTCTGGTTCATAAATTATTAGTTTCCTAGCAAGGCTTTACAACAAATTGTTTGTAATATTTGAATGTATTTACCATACATTGTATTTTACTGAATTATCGTGTTGTTTTGGTTACAGTTCGGTGTAATCGTTATATAACTTATGTTTGAAAGTGATTGTTTACAGTGCAGTTACCCGTTACTTTGCCATATCATGTAATTTACAATGTATATCAACATTCCATTGTAAGTTTAGTGTTTTTTTCTTTTGTTTGGTTAACTTTCGTATCTACTTATTTAATACGCAAGCAGGTTTTTTGTGACAATTACTCCTCCAAAACTACTGAACCGATGGGCATGTTTTTTTGTATCATTGGAAAGAGCGTTTAATGCAAACAGTTAGATTAAGGCTACTATAAATGTAAAGATCCCCTAAATAACCACGTATGCCACCAAATGGTTTTCCCAAAGTAGGCCTTGGTTTAACTAAAATTTATTGACATTTCAAAGTAGGCCTAGGATAGGTTTGATGTAAAATAGGCCTAGGCCTACTCTTTAAAGGACCTATTACATCCTTCTGTGTTACCTTAATAGCCTAAGTTAAACTACCTATATGCCTAGTAACACAATACACATTTCAAACCTGTCAGATATTCGATTACAGCAGCCATATACACCGGAGAACCGATCCCAATACGAAGCCGGTGAGTTCCCATCTTGAGAAATCTCTTCATTCTGCCTACAGGAAAAGTTACATTGGCTCTTTGAGACTTGGACATTGGCTTTTGACGCTTCTTGACACCTCGTGATGACATTTCAGGAGAATTTTAAAACTATTCGGGCAATCTACAATCCTTAACTTAAGGGTAAAGGGTTTAACAGTTAATTTTACAAACATCAATAAACAACTCTATCTAAAAACTAAACAAACACAACAACCTAGGACTAAGCAAGCAGACAAACTACTAACTAGTAACTACACTGAGCTATAATTCTAACTGGAGGTAGCACTGAATGTCAAAGATGCGTGTCGCCAGCCGCCATGTTTGCGTGAGGTTGTGAGTTATAAAGAAGCCATGTTATTGGATGAAAAAACTCACTGCTATACAGACCTAGTTATAGAAGCCATGTCATTGGTTAAAAAAACTCACTGCTATACCAACCTAACAAAATCAGCGACTCGCTCTTGGCAGACTTCAATTTTAGCTCGGTGACTAACTACTAGACAGCCAGACCCAGACACCAACAAACAGGAACACCGAACAGATTACAGAACACCAACACCACCACGGGCCGAGTTCCCGCAAGGCTCAAGGGACGCTCCGTGGCCCGTGCGACGTGCGTGACGTTGGTTATAGTGATGGCACTGGTTTGGCACCTCTTACTTACTTGTATACTTGTGATGATAGTAGGCCCAGCCGTGGTCGTCAAAGGTGTTTAATTTTCAGGTAGGGCCTATCTTCTCTTAATCCTCCAAAAATTCTTCCAATTTGTAGTAGGCCTTTTCTATTAAGTGATTTTTGAGTTTTTTCTTGAATAAATTTTTGTCTTGGCAGCTTCTTATGTCTTCTGGCAATTTATTAAATATTTTACTTGCTGAGTGATGTGGTCCAGCTATTACCAATGATGTTCGGTGACAATTCAGGTGTATATGGTTTTGTTGCCTGGTGTTATAATTATGTATTTCGTGGTTGCGTTTGAAGACTTCCGGAAATTTCCATATCATCATAGCTGATTCCAATATATAAACGGAGGTAAGGGTGGGAACTTTAAGATTAATAAAAAGTGGTTGCAATGTTCTAAAAAAATGGGTTTTACATATTATTCTAATAATTCTCTTTTGTAGTAGAAAGACTCTGTTTGCTTCACTGCTGTTCCCCCAAAGTACGATGCCATAGCTCAATACGCTATGAAAGCAGCCATAATAAACTTTCATCAGGATATGATGATCCACTATATTTTGTAGTCTGCGCATAAGACAGCAGCATACTACCACAAGTCTTGAGGTTATATGATCAATATGTATATTCCATCTAAGGTTATTGCTAAGGTGATGCTTATAGCATCACATAGACAAGGTATGTGTTAGACTAGAGTTACTTACCTACTAAGAAGACTTCGTCCTACTTTAAGTCAACCCTCTCTGCTGATGGTCTATCACGCCCTCTTCCACAGCCATGTGTCGTACGGCCTTGTCCTATGGCCATGGGGCCATTCTACATCAGCCCATGACATCCTACTGCTCCAGAAGAAAGCCATGAGGATAGTGTCATCTGCTGGCTACAAGCAGCACTGCCGCCCTATATTCATCCGGCATAGGGTGCTCACTGTATTCAGCCAGTATATCCTCGAAATCCTTGTACTACTCAAAGACAAGGTGGGACTCTTTGGCAGGAGAGAGGAGGTCCACACTCACAATACCCGCAGAGCCCCAGACCTTGACATGCCTCGGTGCCGACTTGCACAGACAATGAGGAGTTACCCGCGTTCGGCAATTAGGGTCTTCAACACCTTTGCCTAAGCGAGTGCGTGACATGGACCTGCCAGACTTTAAGAGGGCGATTCGTGATAGACTGCTAAATATAGGCCATTGTACGCCTTGCATGAGTTGGAAAGTGAACCCCTTTTTTAACGTGACACGTCCGCCACAAAAGTAGAAGTTAAAAGTATATGTAGATTTTTTTAGTGTTTTTATGTAAATAGTAACATGACGCAATCTATCCGACATGTCAGTCAAAGATGTAGAAGACAAGTATTTCAAGTAAGTATTTGCTTATTTTGATTCCAAGATAGTTTACGTATCATTTATTTTTAAGTTTTGATTTTTTAACTTTAAGAGAGGGCTGCGGTCAGGTGCCTTTGTGTTGAAAAAATTTAAAACTGATGTTTTGTTTTCATTTAGTACTAATTTGTTGTCGTTGCACCATTCTCCCATCTGATGAACGCCTATCTGGGACTTGCGTATTGTTTCCTCAGAGCTTTTATTATTAACTAGATGGCAAACATCATCCGCAAAAAGCCAAAGAGCTCCCTCTTGTATTGTCTCTTGTAAATCATTTACATATAGCAAATACAGCACAGGTCCCATATTTGAGCCCTGGGAGACTCCAGTGTTGATGTTATTCTGAATTTTTGATCTGTATTGCCTTATGACATTATCAGCACCGAAGTTATTTACGGCTACTAACTGAGATCTGTTCCCAAGAAATGACATAGGTAATCCAATTTAAAGGGGCATTTACTATACCCAATTTTTGTAGTTTTAATCTTAGGATCGAGTGATTTAGGCAATCAAAAGCCTTGGTCATGTCATAAAATAGTCCAAGTACTTCTTCAGAGCAATCTACTTTTTCATGTACATGGGTAATCAGCGAGAACACAGCATCAATTGTCGACTTATTTTTATGGAATCCATATTGATTAGAATTTAAAATGTCATTTTTTCTAAGTATGGTATTGATCAATTTAAATATGTCACTTCACAATTTTTTTAAAAAACTGACTGTAAGGCCACTGGCCTATAATTGCTTACCTCCTCTTTACTACTCTTCTTGTGAATAGGAACGATTTTTGAAGTTTTGATTATGTCTGGAAATTTTCCTTCGTCAAAAGACTTATTAATGATCACAGATAATGGTTGTGCGATTACATCAACGCAAGCCAACCGTACCTTGCACGGAACCCCATCCACACCTGAACTAGATTTACGACATACTTTTTGTACAATTTCAACTATTTCTTTTTCATTTGTATGTTTTAGTTTGTGCCGATTTCAAATCAAAAGATTTAAAATCCGCGCCAGGCAATGGACAAGTCATCCAACCATGATGTAACGCGGAGGGATACGTATTGGAAGACCGTTGGGAACCGTGCCGTGTGGAAAGCGTCTCGTCGTCTCTCGTGGTTCAGTGCTCGCAAAATCAACATCTAAAGTCGCGTTTTGTCGCTGGTGTAGGACGATTTTATTAATATCTTCATTCGTAGCTCGGAAATTCGCGTTCGGGCGAAAATTGTACGTTCATCAAATGATCGCAATTGTCAAAATTTCGCCGAATAGCAATTAGGGGTGTGTTTTATTAGTATTAAGTCGAGACGAGACATGTATTCTGACTGGTAAAAATTGAATGCACATGTGAAAAATTTGGCAGATTGGCATGACTAATAATACTAAAACACAAATAACATAAAACATTTACTTACGTACACATGTCGACACATTCACATTCAAACTCTGGCTAAAGATTCACACGGACGGAACATTTAAAAACTGACTCGTGGTGATTTGTGATTTTTGTCTGACCGAGCGGAATATCACGACACGGTTTTCTGGTGTAGGACTTATTAATTCTTGTTTTTTCGAGCTGGCGTTTGATGATTCAATTGAAAATACCGTCACGACGATCCACGATTTCGATCGAACACCCTTAATGCAGGTGCCTTACTGACCTGTGGTGGCACTCACACCCCCCGAAGTCCAGGGGTGGGGAATACACTTGCCGTTTTGGCGCGAACATCAGGTTAGCTACCACAATAGTGTTTTCTTGAACTGAGTTATTGGATTTAATTGTTAGGTTATCATGAGTTACAACTTCCTTTGTTAGGCTATGTACTATTTTCCAGGATTCTTTACTCACATTTGATGAATTAGGTAACTATTTTGTTATTAAAAAACTTTTTCTTGCTATTTGCTACAATTTGAGTGTGCAGTTTCTTAGCTTTACTATATTCCAGTTTACAGTGTTAATATCCTGTGATATCATACTTTGCCAATAAATATTTACAAGATTCTCTCGGGAATCAACCACTTCATCATCTATCTGGTACCTCCTTTATTTTATAAAATAAATTTTAAGTATTTTGGATGGGCTACGCTACCGTTATCATCTACATAGTTTCAATTGTACCCAAACATGGATATCGATCACATTTCATGGTTTTTAATAAAGCAATAAATGTTTTCCTTTCAGATTAAAATGCTGTTTTAAGAGTACAAAATATAAAAATGTATAGCCTATTATTTGTTTGTTTTCCGGTCAGAATTCTCCAGTTGGCAGATTTTCTTGGACATTATGCCTTAGACTACAACTACCTAACTTAATTTAATAAAGAAGGTGAAATAAAGTTAACAACAAAATAATTAAACATAAGTTAGGCCCTAATAGGTAAGTTGACTTGTTCCACCAACTTCAACTCAGAACTCAATCATACAAACGATACGAATCGAAATTCCAGGAACTAGTTGCAGTGCAGTTAAGATGATACTAGCCTGAGTGAGACTTTCTGAAATAGCTACAGGCTTCAGCTGCTGCTACATCGACATTTTCCTGTCATGAAAGGCTCGCGTTCTATTGGCCGTGTTCGGCAGTGCTCGCGGTAGTCGCATATTCGCGTTCGCACCTGATCCATCCATTGTCGGTTTCATCGCGAATGATCAAAGGAAATTCGCGTTCACTCGAGTTCGGTGCTCGCTTCAGTGTGACCCATTGTGACCACATCGGAGTGACTCCAGTCTGGTCCTTGCCGGTGCCTACATTTTACTGCTATCAACAAGTTGTTTAGGTCAAAGGTGGTTTTTTTTTGTTGTACAGTACTTCTATTATTAATTATTCCTATTTCGTTTAACTAGTGTGGAATGATGACAAAATGTTGGAGCTGATTGAAGAATACAAAGCAATGCCAGTGTTATGGGATCCTAGTAGGGCTGATTATAAACTGTTAAACAAATTTACAGTTTTTTTTTATTAATTTTGTATTAAACAGTTAGTCTGTTTTAGAACTGCACGGTGACGATAACAGGGATGATAACTAGTGTTGGCAGAGCACAAGCGAATGACGTTTCAATCAA